CATTTCGGTCATGATCTGCTTTGAATGTATATGTCACTCAAATATGAACGGAACGGGGACGTGTCATTGACAATGACTTGTTGATTAATGATTTTGACAATGAGTCTTCACACCGTATATTAGATCATCTAATAACTATTATTACTTTTACGATTGGCTTTCTTGAAATGATCAGTGAGCATGGCATGGTATATGTGGTACAGACTTACTCAGAATAAGCTCAAATTGAGAATTCTGATCTACTCCTCATCAACAGCCAAATACTCTTGAATTCTCGACTGTGGTACAAATTTGTTAAATCATAGTCATTTGATGGCTATTGTACATAATCCGCCTGTGCTCTGTAACTATTGCATGACCATGATTTACTTAATACCTAACCTTTTACTTGATAGCCTTTGACAGATGAAGAAATCCAACAAGCTTTGGTTACACGAAAGTTATGGAGTTTACATTTACATAGTCTTGCACCTCAAATATATGCAATCATCAAAGATATATCAGGTAGGAATTCATTATGAAATATCGATATGTACAGGAGTGAATTAATTCCTCCATTAATTGCAAAGTATTTCATTATAACTTTTCTTGGTCCCTCCTAGGTACTGGCTATCATCCCTTGCAACATATCTTAAGAAGAGTATGTTGGCAGCTTGCTGACCTGGCAGCCCCAACAGCTTTGCTAGTCGTCAGGTTAGATACTTTAATATGTATTTCAATGTCACTCATACCTGGTCACATCAACTTACTATAACTGAACATATGAAATTAAGAGCATGGGGTTCACATTGCAGCCCCCCTCCCTTTCCAATGCAGATTTTTTGTTGCTGTTCTGTCAGTGTCAACTCTTGTAGTTTTAACAACAAATAGTGATAAGCCTTTATCATTGGAAAATACTCTTGTCACTTTTCAGGTATACATTTGAAATTCTTGAAGAAGAACTGAACAAATCAAGTAGTAAAGAAGATGACAAAGTGGTTGATGTGTTCAGCCCACATTCTAATAAACTATTGATGTTGATTATGTATATGGTTTCCCAGGCATCTGTCAAAGCTCCTCTTTTACACTACCTTAGATCTACGTGAGTCAGTTTTATGTGTATTATCAAATTCATTTTTAATGTTTTTTTACTAATTACAATTTTTTTGTAAAAAAAACATGCCATTTTTCTCCAAAATCAATGCCATAACATCTTACTGCAACATTGAAAAATCACTTTTATGTTGTGTTTGCCATTGACGATATTCTGAAGTTTCTCGATATGCTAGGCTGGCACTACAGAGCATTTTTGCAACCAAAACATTCACTTTCAATGAAAGTTAAATTTTATTTCCATTTAATATCAAACCATTAAATTGATTTTTTGTCTGTTATTATAATCACGACTGAGTACTGTAATAATCAATGCTTGTAACATGTCAGAAAGTTATTCACATGTAAAACAGTTTTATTGCGGATTGCATTACTGTGACCATTCACTACTAAACAATGCATTCGTGTTTGTTTTTAGTTGAAACTTGTTCTATATTTTTCATTACCAACAAAGTTAAAACCAATGCATATTTTATGTAATCAGATAGAAATACTGAAAACAAATTTTGTGTTTGATTACATAAACTTTTTGACTCCCGTGTGCGAAGCACAAAAGGGAGTCTTTGCAGTTACCCTGTCTGTATGTCTGTATGTATGTCACTTTTTTTGTTCCACCGTTATCTCAAGAACCACTAATCAAATTTTGGGGAAACTTGGTACATAGATGCTCTGGGATAATGCGCAGAGTTGATTAGGTTTTGGTAAAAATATATGAATATTAATTACCTAATTTGCATGATAATTAGCTGATTTTTAGCTGTTCCAAGACTTTTCCACTGATATCTGAAGAACCACTCATTGGATTTTGATGAAATTTGGCACATGGGTGCTTTGAACTAGTGCACAGATTTGATTAGTTTTGGGTAAAAATCTATGAATATTAATTATCTAATTTACATGATAATTAACTGATTTTAAGCTGTTCTATGACTGTTCCACTGATTTTGAAGAACCACTCATTGGATTTCAATGAAACTTGGCACATGGATGCTCTGAACTAATGCGCAGATTTGATTAGTTTGGGTAAAATCTGTTAATA